GAGCAGGGCTTTGTTAGGTGCCTCACTCCCACTGCCCTGATCCCCATCTAACCCTGATCCCCATCTAACCCTGATCCGCTCCATTGCCTGACCCTGATCCGCTCCGCACCCCTGGCTCAATTGCCTTCATCTTCTCTCCTTTACCTCCTCACCCACTGATGATATAACTCCGGGCCTGTGCCCCACCATCTGCCTCTCATTAACAATGCATTGTTGTGATTCTATACATCCTACGTAGGTAGTGTTATTATTCATCCAAAGATAGGGGGCCCGATGTCCATGACAGATGCTCGAGCGCTCTTCATTCCCGTCCAGTTGTCTCGGCATTGTCCCACCAGCTGATGCGTTTCCTTCCTCTTACGTATGGTGCGTTGAATTTCTTTCGCGCCGTACGTAGCTGACCGTGCCATTCAGAGGTGCGCGACGGGGGGGGGGGGAGGGGAAGGACAGCAACTAAACACACAAAAAGCAGCTCTAAAGAAATTCGTTTTCAATCTAGATGATTTGAAAGTGCATAGCTTCGGTGGCATCCTAATATCGGAAAGGAGAGCATTCCAGACGGCCGCAGAAGTGCATCGGAAAGTGCGCGATGCAGTGACTACCGTATTTGTTCGATGGCTGAGCCAAAAGCTGACATTGCAAGAATGACCGGAATTTTTTAAAATCTAAAATATCGAACCCAAAAACACATTCCCCTGCGGAGGGAGCTGGTAGGAACGTTGGTTTGCTCGGTCAATGGCCAGGGTCAACGGCGGCACCACGTGGTGTATTCCGCACAATATGCCCGACTGTGAGGGCGGGCACAAGCCGGCGTGAGTAGGTTAAACGTTGAGTTTTATAAGGGCACCACGGGGTGAGCAGCCCCTCCCCACCTAGCCCCTCCCCTCCCACCCCCCACCCAGCCCCTCCCCACCCTCCCCACCCAGCCCCTCCCCACCCTCCCCACCCAGCCCCACCCTCCCCACCCTCCCCTCTCCACCCAGCCCCACCCCTCCCATTTTTGGATGCACGACGGACGAACACAATAATCCCCTGTGGGCTGGTGTAACCAGGAGGTTCCTACCAGTATATATGTGTATGTTGAACTCCTTTTGCACCGTACATAGCCAACCGTGTTAATCGGAGGTGCGGGGGAAGGACAACAAACTAAACACAAAATGAAGTTCTAAAGCAATTAGTTTTCAATCTCGATTTAAAAGTGCGTAGCGCCAGTGGCTTCTAATATCGGAAGGAAGAGTGTTCCAGACGGCCGCATCGCGCGTCTAAAAGTGCCGCGCGATGCGGTGACCGTCTTTGTTCGATGGTGAGCCACATCCCGCTGCGAGGATGTCCGGAGTTCATGTGATGGTTTGTGTTCCTTGAGATTAGCAAGGTATTGTGGTTCATTTGAAGCAAGCACTTTGTGTGTAATGAGCGCGACTTACATTTTCTATTGCCGGACTATATTCAGAATTTGTTCATCATATCTCTGACCCTCTGAGCATATGTCACTTATGATTGCCTACTATGATTTACAAAACTATGATTATATCTCATGTATTAGACAAAATATGGATGGACTGGCTCCCATCAAATGAATGTGGAATTTCCACCGCTGGTTCAGGGCTGTCAATGTAGATTGCCACCACATTTCTATTTGAACTGACATTGATTCTACACATATACAGTACATGTATTGTCTCCCCAATTTTATCTCAATTGTGCTATCGGCGTCATGGCATGACATGAAGAATCTAAACACGCATTGCCCCGTTTGTTAAGAGAACGGCCAGCAGAAGAGATATATGCAGAACTACTTCTAAGATCCGTTAAAGTGACCTGTTTTATATATATACACATGCACACCAGAAATGCTGCACTAACCCACATGTACCAGGAAAACACATTGGCAAAGTAGCTATTTTAATTCACATACAGTAACTTGAAATCACCAAATTAAGTTAATATATATTTTGATGGGAGGTGGGGTTTGTGCAGTCATTTCATAACTGGCATGAAACCATCAACTCACCACCCCTGACGACCCAGTTTAATCACGGGTGTCTGAAACCTGTATTCGTACCCACGCTATACAACAACACCAGCGAAGTGTAACTGACTACTGAATCACGCTGTGTGTTTTGGACATCCCCAATATTCACATGCCTAGAAAACCTCTGGATCACTGAAGCTTGGTGATTTTTTTTAAATATGTTTTTCCCACCACCCACCATTTGCTAAGTGATTGAGGCATTGGCAGATTTCACGACAACAAAAAAAAACTAATCAGACGGAGAGAAATGTTCGCCCACATTTCAGTCGGGGGTTCTGTGGGTTTAAAAACGTTAGCCAAAAAGGAACACGAAAAATAATTATGCCGTTTTAAAAAAAAACACCACGACATCGATCTCTTAACACAAGGGCTCTCTGTGCTCTTATGTTCACAAGTTATTTGATGCGATGCTCCGTTTTATCCGCTGCGTTTTGTAATCCTTGCGTAACCTTGGAGGGTAAACGTTTTGTGTTAACATTGCATTGTCAACGCTCTGTCCTGCCGCTTACATTTCTACATTTATTTGGTAAATCAACCCACTCCCCATCTTTTGCGAGTCATTGGCTTCTACATCTTTTTTGTAATTTGGCCAAGTGCTGTTTACTTTGAGTGGAAAATATTTTTGATTTTCAATATATAGGACAGATTAAATTTTATATTTTACACTTTACCAAACAATGTATCCTGTTCATGACCAGCAATGCTGCAGTAACTATATTTTCGTGTACTTAAAATTATATTTTTAAAAAATTAGATAAATAAATTCCTACATCGCTGTGAATGCGCCTTACCCTGACAACTCTTGAAAGCCACGCGGGTTTAACCTGCTTAGTAATTGGATGGGAGATTGACTGGGAATATCTGGTGTTGTAGGCTCGTGTTGTGCCGTTAGTTAGCACCTATTCATGCCAGAACAGGGCACGAGTGATGGTGTGGACAGCTCCTCAACCAGCCACCTTCATCTCCCCACAGTGCCGATGTTTACACCACACTAGATAATCAAAGACAAAGATCCCCCGTATAGCCTGTAACAGACTTGGGGCAAGTGCTGTTAGCGAGTACCTATGAAGGCCAGCACGGCACACGAGGGGGGTGGGTGGCTAGCACCACGCTCGGCCGCCTTTGTTTCCCCGGTGGCGATGTTTTTACGCACCGCACCAGGTACTCATTTGAGGCTGAGTCGACCTGGAGAGGCCCAGGACCGGTTCAGATAATCGTGACCGGTGATTGTGGCCATGAGGGGGAATCGAAACCGGGCAGCCGGTCTCGTAGTGCAGCACACGAACAACTGCGCCACCACTCCCCTTAATAATACATATGCACATACAAACATAGATGCAAACGCAGATGCAAACACAAACGTACAATTATATCCTCATCGTAGGACAAACCAAGGATGTCCTTTCAAGAGATACGGGCTTCTTTGGAAATGTGCAGTTGGTCTGTCTCTCTCTCAATGGACATTGACCCAGCCTCAGCCTGTCACTTTGCCTCACTCGCTGTTATGCAAACACAGTGAATGCCCGGGCCTTCTTGCGATGGTTTGGTATCACGCTGTACACGACAGACACAGTGATATATCTGGGTGGGGAGATACCGCCATGTTCGGCAGCGGAACACACAATGTTCAGGGAACAAATGCAAATGGAATACCGCCTTGACACGCCATGGCTATCAGGGATGATAGACTACCATTGCGACTCACGGCGTGGTGGCAGCCAAAGGCGAGACTGCGAGAACAAGCGTGGTGCAGGAGCGCAATGATTCCACCGCATTGCATTGCAAGCGAGAGACGGCCACTAGGTAGGGAGGCCTTCATCCATCAGTGGACAGATCATGACATGTTGATGATGACTGAGTGGACTTGATTTTCCCCTGCCCTAACGAAAACAGCCCCAGCTTTCTCCCGAATTGACTGCCGCCCCAACCGAGTAACGCGGCCGCCTTTCCAAGGCATTTCCGCCTGTTTGGATGCGATCAACATTTTCCACTTCTCTTGCTGCTGCTGCTGCAGCCGCCGCTGCTGCGTACGCTGCGCTCCCCCGTGGGCGATTAGCATGCGTGTGGTCTTGCAGCGGCGGGCGGCAGGGGCATGCTGGATCCGTCACCGTCCACGAGCAGACATGACCTCCATCGCTTAATTGGCCCGGGGACACAGAACGCTGCGCTCGGTTATTCGCTTGCGCCTCGCGATGCCAGTGGTCGTTGGTGCTGGCGTCTGGATTTTCTTCCTGAGTAATTTATAATAATGTATCCACGGGAACCCATTTATGGTGTAAAGCTGGAAGACAAAAATCGTAGTTTGTAGCCACCTCAATTGAGTACCGTCGTCGTGAACTGTGGTCTATCCACTGCTGGATATCCATGGGGAGAACCAGGCGCCACGGTGGTGAGATATTAACTACCTCACCTGGTATACAGGAGGGCATGGGTTCGATCCCGATGCTGGTGCCTGAATATTTAGAGTTTGCATGTTCTCCCCTTGGGCGAGTGGATTTTTCTCCGGGTCTTCCGGTTTTCCTCTCCACATTTAGAAACACGCATTCAGAGAATTTGGCTGCTATATATTCCACATGATAAACCACTTCCTTGAGCTATCATTTGTGGCCAGGTCGCTTCTGAAAAAGAGCTATACAGCTCAGTGGGCCTTAACTGGTAAAATAAAATAAAAAAAATTCAAAGTGGAAGGCCCTCCCATATTGCTGCCATCCCTTGCTGTCCATCTCGCACTGGGCTCTAAACCCCATAATTCAAGTTTGTAATTCCTGGCCATGGTTAACATCATTGTAACAGGTGGCATTTGAGCACATCCTGGGCCTGACCCATTTACCAAATGGCGCTGATGAGCGTGGTAAAGTATGGTAAAACAACCCTCACCACTGGCACGCTTGAGAAAACCTTCATCCAACGGCTTATTGACAAAGGGCGTGGTGAATGAGTACTATTCTTGGTTGAATTGTTTCATTAGGTCATAGAGCTCGTCTTGGACAACTGCCGTTCCAACGACGGAAAGATTGAGGGGCTGACGGATGCCTTCTCTGCCCTGGAGTACCTGAGCATGATCAGCGTCGGACTCACCAGTCTTGCCAATCTGCCCAAGCTGCCCAAGCTGAAGAAGGTGAGAAGTGCTATTATTATTCTCATACCCCTTTTTTCACTGGCACTTGCGAGCCGAGCCAGTGCAGGGCCCTCGTGGTACAGGTGCTTTTTCCACTGGCAATTTACTGTGCCTAGCTGGAACCAAACCATGCTACGCTGGCCTCACACCTGAATCTGGATCGGGGCCTAGCATGGGGTGCAAGGGCAGCTCGTTCATCACGTGTGACATTCAGATAGTTGCAACTCAAGCGGATCGTCAACCATGTCATCGAAATGCGTATCAACTCCTTCACTGCACGTGAAATCGTTGACATGGTTCAGCTTCTGCAGTGGGAAAAAAAAACAGACCTGGTGCCTCCTGAGCCACGCTGACTTGGTGGGGGTTAAGCCAGACTCGGCAAGAGAGCTGAAGGTGTCCACTTAGCAAAACAAGTATAAGGCGGGCTCAAGTTGTGAATGTGTGCGATTTAACTCAGACAGCTGATGTCCAAAAATGAGACAGTGCAAGGTTAGCATTTCTTTGTGCAGCAAGCCATGAATGGGTTTTAACTTATTTGCATCTCATCAGCAGGGTGTGTGGCCTGTTCAACGAATGTTGCTGGGCTGCTTGATGTGATAGGCAACAGTATGACACAAACATCGTGGGCCGCATTAGATGCACAATAGCCCCATTGTACAAACCTTGTTTTGCACATATAGCTTCGTCCTGTTTTGCTTCGGCCTGTTTTATATTAGGCCTCTTTAGCTTAGACCTGTTTTAGCGTAGGCCTATTTTAGCTTAAGACTGTTTAGCGTAGGCTTGAGTCTAGGCCTCTTTTATCTTCAGTATGTTTAGCTTGGGCCTGTCTGAGCGTAGGCCTGTTTTTCCAGCCAACAGGTTTCTGTTGGCCGGAATTGATGGCGTGGACAATTTTTTTATTGCGTTGATGATGTTGACGACTACGATGACGATTGTTTCCGCGTTACACAGCTGGAGTTGAGCGACAACAGGATTTCCGGAGGTTTGGAGGTCCTTGCCGAGAAAGCGCCGAAGCTCACCAGCCTGCACCTCAGCGGCAACAAAATCAAAGACCTCGGCACATTAGAGCCCCTGGTGAGCAGCACTGGCAGTTGCGTGGCATCGAAAATGCATAAATGTGAATCTTGATTTGAAGCTTTCGTGACTGCTGGAATCCATACTCTTTGGTTCTTTCGGTAAAGTCGCGTAGGTAGAAAAATAATAGATCACTATTATTATAATAGATCACTATTATTATAATAGATCACTATTATTATAATAGATCACTATTATTATAATAGATCACTATTATAATAGATCACTATTATAATAGATCACTATTATTCTTTATCTACCTACGTGACTTTACCGAAAGAACCAAAGAGTATACATAAGTGTAATTTAATTTTGGCCAGGGCTTTGTAGGTTATCATTAAGTTGAAACTGAGACAGCATTTCAAAGCTCTCACAAGCGAAGGTATTTGATAAAATATATATTTAGATAAATTATCAAAATTTGTTTGTAAATTTTACAAAGAAAGTAGCAAGATACAAATAAGAAGATAAATAAGGTAAGGAAGATACATCCTCTCACTAAGGATATTGACAGCATCTTCAGAAGATATTTTTGAAAAGTGAAATTAAGTAATAAATAAAGATGAAAAGAGAAAAGATTAACCATCACAGATTTTCAGATTTCGTGGTACTTATAATAACCAAGGGAAATGAATTTTACATGTAGTCTTTCACGACCAATATTATGAATCATAATTGGTTTCTTTTGGGTTAGATCACCAAGCAAAATGTTCATAATATTGTACAAATTCCTGCCTGCTGAAACAGCAAATCAATTGGCATATTTTCCCAAGTTACAAATTAATTTGATTTGATCTATTGGGTAGTCGATGGTTATAGTAAAAAAGGCACATTATAATCTAAACAAAAATATTACGAATCAATGGAAATTAACTACAGGAAATTATTAAATATGAGCAAAACAAGCCCATGTACACGACAAGTTTGTTAAACAATATAAATAGTTGTTAGCAGGAAACACTTGGAGTATAGTCTATTCTCCTAGAACGCGGTAGTTGCGTTCCTCGAAGAACGCCGCGTTATGGAAAATTCGCTTTTTAAAAAATAATATATAATATCGGGTAAAGCACAGTCGGCGATAACACGCGGGATGCGTATGCAGGCTGAACAAAGACTGAGGCACGTGGGTAGAATCTAGAAGCATCCAGCAGCATCCCATAGCCTTGTACGATCCTACGCCAAGGCAGCCGTTCAACCGCTTATTCCTACTCGTGCGACGTAGTTCTGTTCACATCGGCGTTATAAAACAATGTGTTCCCTAATATGGTCATCAGGTTATATCCAATTCGAGAAGAAACCGTGTATATATTTGTATTCTTAGGGCAATGATTGAAAGTGGATCGGGATTGTAGAAAATGTGCTTCATTCTCATAACGTCAACAGAGGATAGAAGCTTAGTAGTGCGCACCTTTAGACAGTCGAGACGATTGATATGCAATCTTGATTTGAAGCTTTCGTGACTGCAGGAATCCCGTACTCTTTGGTTCTTTCGGTAAAGTAACGTGGTAGGTAGAAAAAAATAATAATAGATCACGACGTTTTGATTGCCTGCGTTGCGATCGAAACGTGAAACGTGATCTAATTTTTTCTACCTACGTGACTTTACCGCTTGATATGCAGTTGAGAGAGAGAGACAGTGATATTGTTACCGAAAGATAATGTTCGATGTTGCTATCACAGTTGTTCAATAAAGACTTAAATTGTGTAATCACGACTCAATCACTGTTATATATTTAGAATTACAAGGCCACCCTGAGTGTAATCACCTTAAACTATTTAATTAGTAAGATGCCGAGGGAGAAATAATAATAGACAACAGAATGAAAATTATTAAATTAAGAGGACAGCAAGAACTGAATGGAGCGCTTATGGAAACATCGCGTTTAGTAATGAAAAGCAACGCGTCTAAAGAATTCAGTTTTTGCAGTCAGTGCATTATCGACTGCCGCAACGTACGGATCGTACACACGGACCGATGGACGTACGCTAAAGGAGTTTGGGGAGATGCATGCTGCTGGAAATTACTCCCGAGAGGCGGAGAGAGGGAACGCGTGGATTGGGGAAGAATCTTGAATTTCAGAGCTTGCGTTGCTTACAGTGGGATTGGACATGGACAGAGCACAAGAAAGCATGATAATCAATGGACTAGACTGGTTAAGGAATCTCAGCCTAAACGAGACAAGAGTTGGGAGATTAAAATAAATGTCTAAATTGAAGAGAACCCAGGTAACGTGATCCATACCTTTGCACTTGTCAGAAACAGCAAGACTTCTTCACGATTCTGGCTAAAATCGCCTGATAAAGCTGGATGTAATCGCCAGAGAAACGTCACGGTACTCAAACTGTCAATATTGCGGGTTTACTCTTCAACATACCGGTGTGCTGAAGAAGTAATTAATTGGCATGTTTTGTTTAAGCGACAAACCTTACTCATTGGCTGCGTCGGGTGGTGGTGCGTTAACGACACATTTATGATCTTGATTTGAAACTTTCGTGACTGCAGGAAGCCATACTCTCTGGTTCTTTCGGTAAAGTCACGTAAATAGAAAAACTAATAAAAGAACACGATGTTTCGGTCGCAACACAAGCGTCCGTCATCAGGGTGAGAAAGCCACAACAGCAGATCATTCTTTCTCACCTGATGACGGACGCTTGTGTTTGCGACCGAAACGTCGTTTTCTATTATTATTATTTTTCTATCTACGTGACTTTACCGAAAGAGCCAGAGACACATTTATGATTTCATAGCACGTTTTTTTTTTTCTTCCACTGGGTAAACTTGACGAGATTAAAAATGACCGTGGAGGATAAATCCCAACGGAGTTTGCGCCTCGCTCACGCAATGGCAGTTTCACAAAGATTTGTTACAGAAGGATTCACCCCGTCTGTAGAACGGGACGTTTACCGGTTTGATGTTAACTACCTCGCATGTTATGGTGAAGTACGGTTAAACACTAGATTTGAAGCTTTCGTGACTACAAGGATTCATACTCTTTGGTTTTTTCGGTAAAGTCACGAAGGTAAAATAAAATAAAACAATTAAATCACGACGTTTCGGAGGCAACACAAGCTTCCGTCTTCAGGTGGAACAGTCACAGCAAGATCGCTGCATCAAGTGGGGAGGCTCTGAGAGCCTCGAGCTTATATACAGGTTAAGGGGGGGGGAGGAGCCAAGTAGGGGACATTTATGGGGTGCAGGGCTAAGTTAATCCGTCTTTTGTTATGTTGAGGGTGCGGGGGATGCGGTGGGTCACTGCACGGGAGCAATGGAAAATGGAAACAACAATGACACTCCGATCAAAATCATCACACTGCCATACATAGCAGGCGTTACCAAAAAGATTTCCAAAATTCTAAACAAACACAAGATCCAGGTTCGATTCAATACAGTACACAAAATCCGTGATCTGATCCCATCCGTAAAGGATGTCATCCCTGACTTACAGTACCCCGGTGTTTACAAATTGAGTTGTATCTGCGGTGACTGCTATATCGGGGAGACGAAACGACATATTTCTGACCGAATTCGCGAGCACAAATCAGATTTGAAACACGGCAGAACGAATTCGTCGGCCGTAGCTGATCATTGTCTCAACACAGCGGGTTCTCATGACATTGTTTTCTCCGACACCAAAGTACTATGCAAACCTCCCGGTTATTACCAAATATTTGTCAATGAAGCCATCCAGATATACAAACATAGACACAACTTCAACCGAGAGGATGGTTTTAAATTAAGCAACCACTGGAAAGATGTCATAAACCAAGTCAAAACTTTAGCTACCTTATAAGGACACAGCATATTTTTTTCAAATTTTTTCCATTTTTGTTTCCATTTTTCCATTGCCCCCGTGCAGTGACCCACCGCATCCCCCGCACCCTCAACATAACAAAAGACGGATTAACTTAGCCCCGCACCCCATCAATGTCCCCCACTGGGCTCCTCCCCCTCCCCCTTAACCTGTATTTAAGCTCGAGGGTCTCAGAGCTCACCACTTGATGCAGCTACCTTGCTGTGACTGTTCCACCTGAAGACGGAAGCTTGTGTTGCCTCCGAAATGTCGTGATTTAATTGTTTTATTTTACCTACGTGACTTTACCGAAAAAAACCAAAGAGTACGGTTAAACAACCCCCATGACAGGCGCCGCGGTGGCGAGATGTTAACAACCCTGCCTGGAATGGAGGAGGTCGTGGGTGCGATCCAGACCCTGACGCCTTTATATTTCGAGTTTAATTGTTTCTCTCTCCCTGGTGGTCGCGTGCATTCTTCTCCGAGTCCTCCGGTTTTTCCCTCCACATTTAGATTCAAACGACGCATTTAGAGTTGTTGGCCACTTGTAGAATTTGTAAGTGCATCGCTCCAATCGCTTCCTAATATAGGAAGGAAGGGCGTTCCAGACGGCCGCAGAAGTGCATTCTTAAAGCGCGCGATGCGTTGACCGTCTTTGTTCGATGACCAACCAAAATCCGCTGCGAGGATAACCGGAGTTTGCGCGATGGTAATGTCTCCGCGCGTCTCACGCACGCATCACTACACACTAGGATTTGCCGTGTCAATTATATTTCACGATACAAATACAATAGGATACAATTATTAGAATTATGAGCGATGTAAAGAATGAAAAAAATACGAGGGCTGGGTCGGTGCAGTGGAGCTATCATCTGTGGCCAGGCCGCTTCTGAAAAAGAGCTGTGTAGCTGAGTGGGGGTGGGGGGCCTTACCTGGTAAAGATAAATAAATTAAAAATAGTAAATATGTAGTGAGCTGCCCTTGTGGTTCGATGGCTGCGAGCAGAAAAAGCTGGAGCTGCTCAAGAGCCTCGACCTGTACAACTGCGAGGTGACACGGCACGAGGATTACCGTGAGAAGCTCTTCCAGATCCTGCCCACGATAACCTACCTTGACGGCCTCGACCAGGAGGAGCAGGAGGCCCCCGAGTCGGACGGTGAGTGTTCGACACCGGACTGTGTTCGCGTTTGGCAGTTAACTAGACCGGGTTAGAGTGAGGTGAGAGGTCAGGGTTCATCACGAGACTGGGTTAGAATGAGGTGAGAGGTCAGGGTTCATCACGAGGCTATCTTAAAGTTCGGGCATGTAATTTGTCAATTCAATTAATACAGTTTATTCCGATGTTCATTGTATAGTCATCATTTATTTACATAAAATGCCACTATTTGTGAATAATCAATTTTGACACGCATACATTGAAAAGTAATTCACAATTTATAAAACTTACATGCAAATATGGTGCTATTGTTGCAGTCGGTCTAATGGAGCGAATAAAACCGTACATGCGAGGCAGAAAAAAATATTGGAAACAATACAAACGGGATGCTAAAAAATGTTCCCCCAAAAATAATTAATTATTGAGTCGAATCGTGACTCTGGAATTAGTGAATCATTACACGCCTAGTAACGGTGGGGTGGAAGGTCAAGGTTCATCCCCAGCCTGGGTTAAAGTGGGGTTAGAGGTCAGGGTTCATACCCAGGCTTGAATAAAGTGAGGTTAGAGATCAGGGTTCATCACGATGCTGGTTTAAAGTGGGGTTAGAGGTCAGAGTTCATCAATGTGTTTGGTGTCACGCTCCCATTGTGCCGGTGAGTGTATTCCGCTATTGTTTGCCATTAGGGGAAGAAGATGAGGAAGAGTATGAAGATGAAGACCCACCGTCGGAGGAGGAGGAAGACGAGGTGAGTTTGGGAAGTGCCTGACAGGTGTGGTAGTGGGTTTGTGGTTTATTTTTTTGGGCGATTTTATGTCGGTTTCTCACGTGTCCCGCGTCTTCCCTGCAGGACGAGGATGCAATAAAGGAGGAGGATGAGGAGGAGGAGGAAGACGAGGGTGCGTATATTCATCTCTCCCCCGTGATCATCAAATAGGGTTTTACAATAATCCTTTGTGGCCGAGTGACGCATGCTTGAGATGCTGCAGCTTGGAGGCAAGGCTCGGAGGATCGTACAGATTTGTGAAATGGCCAAACCACCTGGGATATGAGATAACTGGGAGATGAAGTTGGTTCATGAACCCACCTGTCGATATTCTGTTGTTATCATCACATGTGCATTGTGGGATTTCTCTCCGTATTTTTCCTGAAATCAAAACATTCCTTAAAAATAGATTGGCCAAACATCCCAGTGTAGCATATGAGAGGGGAGAGGTAGCAGAGTGCATGGAGGAGAGTTGAGTGATATGAGAGAGCGGAGGTAGGAAATTTTGTGGAGGGGAATAGAGTGAGCTGAGAGGTGAGAGCAATGGGTAACAGGGATGCCGTCGTTAACATCCAACCCAAATGACGCGCGTGGTTCCTGTTTGTCCAGACGACGACTCCGACAGCAAAGGAGAGAAGAGGAAACGAGATCCGGACGATGACGGCGACGAAGACGACGACGAGTGACGCGGCATCGCGCCGTGAACTCGCGACGGTGCAGCGGTCAGGTGCTCTAGCAGGGGGGGTGCTGGTAGAGTTTAGCGGGGGGGGGGGGGGGGGGGGGGGGAGGTGGGGAACGGGAGAGGGGGGGGGGGGCAGTTAACGGGGAGGTAGGGCGGGTGGTTGAAGACCTGGGGGGGCGGGGGGGGGTTTGTGCTCGCTGCCGCGTACTTGTAGAACGTCGGGGCTTGTACCACGCGCGCACGATGCAGCACGAGGAGGCCGCACGTTCCTTGCTCGCCGCTCCCACGAACGAGCGACGCAGGCGGCGACAACGGTAGAGGCGCACCGGGGCCAAGCGCGGAGGCGTTTGGCCCCTGCGCTGTGGCCGGGATTCCGGTTTGCGGGAGTCCGACGCTGGCACACAGGGAGGCGCGGGCATTCATTTCAGTTCGGTTGCCGTCCCCGTCGCCAGCCCGGAAAATTATTTACACATCCGGCAAAACCGCATCCAGTATACCTCTCATTTTGGCTGTGACCACTGGTTCACGTGTCTGCTTTATTTAGTCTACCAGTACTTAAACCGAATTTAGGTCAGGGCCTCGCTCTTGCTGTCGCCAGCGACGCAAAGAAAATATTCACCGAGAAAATTAACCCAATGGGGAGGATGGATTTGCAAAGGTTAGGGTTTTGGAGAGATCGGTGCGAGCCCGAGACGGCGCGGACGATATCGCGATGTCCCGTAGCAGAAAGCGTATCCCGCTAAATTATCGGAGAAACATGAAAAGGGAAGCTTCTGAGAATCTTGACAAGAGTATACGCAAACCAAAATAACAAGTTTGCGCTTTCATTTCAGCTGCTGTTAAACTGGAGCAGTTTAGGACTATTCCTGTATATATATAAAACTACCGATCCACCTCTGAAACCCCTTTATGCGCTGCTCCCACAATGCACCGCGCATCTTGACACAACTCGTCTTGCCGGCTCCCAGCATGCATTGTGCACCGTCAAGTAGATTCTCACTGCAGTCACCACAGCGGTGGCATCGCTAGAGCACGCTAACTGCAACGGTCCTTAACGTCACGTTCAAGTCTTTTTTTTTACTAACAGAACTTCAAACTCAGGTCAGACAGCCAGAGATTCACAACCTGGGCACGCATTTACAAAGAATGCAAAGAGCCATTTGTTTTTGTTGGGATGCGTTTTCCCTTTAAGGCCTATGCACAGCCATCGAGTGTGTGGACCGCGCATCACACCCCTACTTCCTGATTAGCATGATTCGCTACGTACGGTGTGGAAGAAGTTCAGCATACACGTGCACACATACATCTGCACCAGGGCCCACAGATACGTTGGGCCAAGGCACCGGGCTACGACAAATGGGGGGCAGTGAAGCAGACAAGGGTCCCCCGTTTCATCCCTCTCACCAGGGCCCCGTGCCAACCGTGCATACGCCGCTGGCCACGCAGGTCCTGCCTTGTCTGTTCGGCGCCTCTCCCCGTCCCGTGAAAGGCAGACGCCGACGGATTCTCTCTGAGTGTTCCCTATGAGGGCGGTCGACGTCACGTAAATCACGGCGGCTGGCCGGTGCCCGCTCGTGCGGGCGGCCCCTAAATGCTCAATCTGACGTCGAGAAACCTCGTTCGGGGTCCGGGCCGATGCGTAACTCTTTGTCCACCCCTTACCAAACGCCAAAGTGTGGTTGGCATGGAGCCCCGGTGGAGGGGAAAAATAGACCCCCCACCCACACCCCCATCCTTACTTCCCCCCCCCCCCCCCCTTCTTAGCACCACCCGTGGGCCCTACTCGACTGCTACACCACTGGGCCCCACACCACACCGCCGCCGTCTCGTTCTCGTGAACCAACGGCGCGCTCTGACGATGCCGAACCTTGGTGCGAGTTAATTTATTTTACTCACCTGGTAAAGCCCGCTGAGCTGTTGGCTATTTTAATGACGGGCTGGCAGCAAAAGGGACAGAACGCGCCCGAGAGCACATTTGTCTGTGCGCCGATGGGAGCGATGAGACCAGCTCGTGAAAAAGGTGCTGGGGGAAATTGTCGAGACTTGACAGCAGCTTGGGGAGGACTACATCCGACAGTGGATAGATAGATCTAAGCTGACGACGGCTAGCGACGTCGCTGCTTAGACGCGGTCGCGAAATGTACGGCAGTGACGTCGGTGGCATCGCGAGTCATGTTGAGACAACCGCCGGTCAACGTGAAGACATGTGTGTATATCTTTTTTTTCGCTCGTTAACAGATCCTCAAAAAGCAAGTCGTCAACCCGAGACGAGACGACAGCCCCCGGGAGCGTTGTGGGTGCTGCGAAGCGTGGGTTGGAAAGGGGCATTGCCGGATTTATGATGCCACGGAGAATTGTAATTTTTTTTTTTTAATTACTCCCCTGTGCGTCGACGCAACAAATCTGACCGGGTCGGAGGGCACGGGCTCACGGTAAGAAGTTAAATTATTTCAAATCTCAGTTTGGGGAATTTGGCTCAGCCCATCGTTCTTCTGGGTGGGGGCTGATCAAATGCTTACCGCTTGGTAGTGAGGTCAGCAGTGGTTGCCCAATGTGCTTAACTCACCCCAAACGTAGGAATGTGGAATTTCCATCACTGGATCGAGGCTGTAAAAATGTATGAGTGCCTCCCCACGATTATTCTAACCGATCGAAGGCAATTCGTCTTGCAAATTATATTGAAACGCAGAGGTAAAAAAAAAACACTAAACAAGCAATGATAAGTCAAAGTTTCAATCAAAGGAAATTACGTTTTATTTATACAAGATAAAAACGTCAGACAGATGTGATTTGCATGTCCAGGGGTACTTTTTTTTGCTCGTTATGTTTAAGTGTAAAGCTGGGACGATTAGTTAACGGCAAAATGTACACAACGTTCCGTGAATGTCTTACAACCTCCTGAACCCGATAGTGGAATTATCCGTTTCTCATTTTACCTTTGTGTGCTGTGGATGCCGTTTAGTACTTAGGAATTCAGAGTCTGTTGACGAATAACTTACCGTGCCAGACTGCTTGGGCGCCACATCCTCAAATGGGTCTCTCCCTGCTCTGCGATTGGGCATCACGGGTCAGGCTATTAAACGTCTACCGGTTTTGGCTGTCCCCCAGTGTCCCCTCCGAATCTTTTGTGAAAACTCGGATTCCTCATGCACGACTCCTGAAACAGGCAAAGGGTAGGGCGCTACCTCAGCAGTCGGTTGAGGAGGGGGTGGGGGTAGGCGAAGGCTTCCGTAAGGTGAGCAAGGCCACTGTCAAGAGACCTTTCACCGTGCGGTCGGGGCTGGTGGCTGAGCACGCGTGGCGAACAGGGAGGGGGGATGTCCCAGTTGAGCCTCCCGGAAAAATGGTAGCGTTTTGGTGCGAGGGCGGTGCGAATGGGGACGCTTTGTGATGCCACCCCAATCAGTTTGGCGAGTGTGACCGTCTGTCCTTAGTTGTGGTGTTAAATGTTTATTGCTCCACCGGCATAAAAACGAAACATGTACATGAATGTGGTGTGTGCCGAGTTAGTGCGTAGGTGTTACCTCGACCACTGTGAATATCTTAAATATGTTATAAACTGTTGGATTTCCCTAGCACTCACGTTTGTATTGGTTCTTGTATTTTTGCCCCTTAAAATTAAGCCATTCTCTCTCTGTATGCTTCAGTCTTGAATGTCCACAGACTGCTTTAATAAACATTTTATAATTCATAACCTGTGTGAGCATCCATCGCTCTACGTACAGTGAGGGAAAAAGTATTTGATCCCCTGCTGATTTTGTACGTTTGCCCACTGACAAAGAAATGATCAGTCTACAATTTTAATGGTAGGTTTATTTGAACAGTGAGAGACAGAATAACAACAAAAATGCAGAAAAACGTATGTCAAAAATGTTATTAATTTGCATTTTAATGAGGGAAATAAGTATTTGACCCCCTCTCAATCAGAACGATTTCTGGCTCCCAGGTGTCTTTTATACAGGTAATAACGAGCTGAGATTAGGAGCACACTCTTAAAGGGAGTGCTCTTAATCTCAGCTTGTTACCTGTATAAAAGACACCTGTCCACAGAAGCAATCAATCAGATTCCAAACTCTCCACCATGGTCAAGACCAAAGAGCTCTCCAAGGATGTCAGGGACAAGATTGTAGACCTACACAAGGCTGGAATGGGCTACAAGACCATTGCCAAGCAGCTTAGTGAGAAGGTGACAACAGTTGGTGTGATTATTCGCAAATGGAAGAAACACAAAATAACTGTCAATCTCCCTCGGCCTGGGGCTCCATGCAAGATCTCACCTCGTGGAGTTGCAATGATCATGAGAACGGTGAGGAAACAGCCCAGAACTATACGGGAGGATCTTATCAATGATCTCGAGGCAGCTGGGACCATAGTCACCAAGAAAACAATTGGTAACACACTACGTCGTGAAGGACTGAAATCCTGCAGCGCCCGCAAGGTCCCCCTGCTCAAGAAAGCACATATACATGCCCGTCTGAAGTTTGCCAATGAATATCTGAATGATTCAGAGGACAACTGGGTGAAAGTGTTGTGGTCAGATGAGACCAAAATGGAGCTCTTTGGCATCAACTCAACTCGCCGTGTTTGGAGGAGGAGGAATGCTGCCTATGACCCCAAGAACACCATCCCCACCGTCAAACATGGAGGTGGAAACATGCTTTGGGGGTGTTTTTCTGCTAAGGGGACAGGACAACTTCACCGCATCAAAGGGACGATGGACGGGGCCATGTACCGTCAAATCTTGGGTGAGAACCTCCTTCCCTCAGCCAGGGCACTGAAAATGGGTCGCGGATGGGTATTCCAGCATGACAATGATCCAAAACACACGGCCAAGGCAACAAAGGAGTGGCTCAAGAAGAAGCACATTAAGGTCCTGGAGTGGCCTAGCCAGTCTCCAGACCTTAATCCCATACAAAATCTGTGGAGGGAGCTGAAGGTTCGAGTTGCCAAACGTTAGCCTCGAAACCTTTATGACTTGGAGAAGATCTGCAAAGAGGAGTGGGACAAAATCCCTCCTAAGATGTGTGCAAACCTGGTGGCCAACTACAAGAACCGTCTGACCTCTGTGATTTCCAACAAGGGTTTTGCCACCAAGTACTAAGTCATGTTTTGCAGAGGGGTCAAATACTTATTTCCCTAATTAAAATACAAATCAATTTATAAAATTTTTGATATGCGTTTTTCTGAATTTTGTTGTTGTTATTCTGTCTCTCACTGTTCAAATAAACCTACCATTAAAATTATAGACTGATCATTTCTTTGTCAGTGGGCAAACGTACAAAATCAGCAGGGGATCAAATACTTTTTTCCCTCACTGTAAGTATTCCATAAGAATGTGTAAAACCCTTTTAACAATATGCCGTGTTTGGGCCTCCCTATGTCTATTTTTATTTTTCCAAGGCAAGGCCCACTGAGCTGCATAGAAGCGACCTGGCCAGAAATCACAGCTCAATTAAGTGGCTCATCGTTTGGAAATTTACAGCAGAAAAATGATCTAAAACGCGTGGTGATGTTAATTCTAAATGTGGAGGGGAAAAACCGGAGGACCCGGAGAAACATCCACGCTCCCACGGGCAGAGAGACACACAAACTGCAAATATACAACAGGGTGTCAGGGTCGGGATAGAGCCCACGTCCTCCTGTATACAAGGCAGGATTGTTGACATTTCGCCACCGCAGCACCTGTCATGGGATTGTTTAACCGTACTTCACCACATTGCGGACGCCACCGATGTTAGTCATTGACGGGCATCGAGTTCCATTTTTCAGTTCATGCTGCATGCTGGGCTAACCCCAGAACCATCTATGACAGCACGGGGTTAACACAGGTGTGAGACGTACAAGGACACCCGTAACGTTCACATAGGGCAGAAAGTTACGTTAATAGAATCCGAAATAAACCTAAACATGCTTACATTATGTATCCGTTCCTGACTCCCATCTCAAAAAGGTTTGAGGAGGGAAGCGGAAGAGGGTGAGAGGATGAGAGGAGATTTTGGGGTGCGACCAAGTTAACAGACGGGCCTCATGGAGCATGGAAGTGTGGAACCTGGGTGCTGGCACCGAATTTCAGCCAGAACCTGGGGCATTCTTGGGCCAGCACAGCCCAGTTGCTGGTGACCGTGGTGACAAAGCATTGTCCTTTGACCGCTGGTTCTTGTGGCTGATCTAACTGGTGTGTCCTGCACTCACAAGGGAGTTCCTTTCGGGAAAAGGGGGACTACTTGCAGTGACATCACGGCAGCTCTAATCCAATAGCTCCCATCCGACCCTCCCAAAGAAATACCAGAACCGTTCATGTTATTTGCTTAATTTAACATAAAAAAATAATCGGCTGCCCCGCAACATACCTTGAACTTCTTTCGCACCGTACGTAGCCAACCGCGCTGATCGGAGGTGCGAAAATACTGCGCAAAACCTCATCGCCCCAAAAGAAAAACAAACTCCTCCACGAATAAAGAATAGACGAACGGAGGAAACAATGCAGATAAAGAGACAGAAACAACAACCCCCGACGCCATATTGCAATGGTGGACCGGGCACCCCGGGGGGAAGAAAGCGGAGGCTTCCTACCCCGAATCTCCCACCGGTTTACCAACCCGTAGTGACCAGCGTGGTGAAGTATGACCAACGGTCATCCCGCAGTGTATTGACTCAACGGCTGAAAAATTAAATCGAATCAAACGAGCGGCTTGTCTTTTTGCATGTCCAGCGCAACAACCATCACACCCGAGGCGCCATTCCTCTGTGCCTTTAGCCGCGCTGTTTTTTCCCATCAAACTTGCTTATCGCGAACACTGAGGAGAGAAAAGCTTGCGATCGCGGCTGCCCGGCCATGTTCACGCAAACTGCAGGAAGCGAGCTGTCTGGGTGATCAGCCCGCAACAAAAATGGAGAGGACCAAAACATTTGATTCCTGAACTTCCTTTTAATTTGCGAGAACTCATTTTGCAAAGGATGCCCATTGCTTCAGTGTGGGGCTTTCACCTGGTCGTGCGTGAGGGTTACCGATAGCGTTACAAGTTCTCCATTGTGTGTTTTTTGGGGTTGTGCCACGGTGGCTAGGAGATGTTAACTACCTCGCCTGGTATACAGGAGGTCGTGGGTTCGATCCTGACCCTGATGCCTGCTGCTGTATATTTGGAGTTTGCGTGTCTCTCTCTCTCATCATCATCACGGTGGCTAGGAGATGTTAACTACCTCGCCTGGTGTACAGGAGGTCGTGGGTTCGATCCCCACCCTGACGCCTGCTGCTGCTGCTGTATATTTGGAGTTTGCGTGTCTCTCTCTCTTCCCGTAGTCGCGTGGATTCTTCTCTGGGTCCTCCGGTTTTCCCCCTCGTTAACATCACGCGTTTAAGAGTATGTGGCCGCTATAAATGTCCACACGATTAACCACTTCGTTGAGCAATCATTTGTGATTAGCCAGGTCGCTTCTGAAAAAAATAGAGCCAGACAACATAGTCGGGCATTTTAGCTGGTAAAATAAAAATAAACATTGTTCATAGTTTTGAGTTAAGTTTGTCGAGTTCGATGTCCGAAGTGCACACGCGGCAAGAATGGTTAAAAACAAAAAAACAAAACAGAGAGAAGCGTGTAACGCAGCCAAGCAAACCCACACACAGGGCGCTGTGGCGTCATACGTTTTGTGTTGGAAAGTACATCGATAATGAATGAGAAAGTGCGCCAGCCCAAGTAAATTATTGAGTGACGTTTTCAGAGGTGAGCAACGCTTATCAAACTGTCCGCATCTTCCTCTCGTATCACTACGGTGGGGTTGCAAAAGCTGGTGGATGGGAAGCTAGGTTGAATGTGGTTAAAATTAATGTGATTGAATGTGTTAATATTCAAACGTGACGGATAGATTCAATCTCACAGGTTGAACCTGGCAGATTGAATGCGATGCCCAAGTAAGTGTGCAATGTCGAGTCAGTGCTGGAACGTGGTTGGAAGCGTTGGATCCACGTTGGCCCAACGTTCAATGTTTACCGGGACACTAAAACCTTGGGCTAGTCGGGCTAATATGGGGGTACCCTGTTTTCTGGATAGCTGAACACTCCGGCTAGCCGCGAATGTATTCAAAATCTACATAAAACAACAACAATACCGTGTACCGCACATGTTTATATAGACGGCATATAATGGTATAAATAAAGTCGTGTGTGAAGTGTATGTGCATGTTTTTGTACTGACCAACAGGTAAACGGTGTACTGTATACCATATCCGTGCACTGCCCTGTACGATAGTTGCTGTCAGTCCCCACCACGACCACTCCGCACCACTCAAGTGTTGTCGAAATACGTTTTCTACGCTACATATTTTACATTTTACACAGTATAACATGTTGAAGTGCGATGGCACCTTTTTTTTGCCAGTATCAAAGTATGAAAAATAAGAAGAGGTTTTACCCTTTCAGGCAATAAAACCAGGTGTTACGATGTCCAAACACCAAAGAGATAGATACCCTTTGCAAGTGTAATGACTCCGACAACAAGAATATAAGAACAGCCACTTTTATTAGTTACACCATAAGGAACCCTACTATGGATTACATAATAAGGGACAGAGGCTTCGTGACTTGCTCTCTAGCGTGTATCTTCCTCCGAACCTCCCCACTCCTCGTGCTCTCCCCTTATACAGTGGTACCTCGGAGATCGAACTTAATTCGTTCCAAAACCGTGTTCGAACACC